TTCTGTGAGATCAGGCAGGCAAAGATTAAACTCCTCATTAGAAAAGAGGTCCAGAAAGATTAAGTGATTCTCCTGAGATTACAGCCCAGCTGCACGAGAAAAAAAGACAGGATGATGATCCTCTGATTCTGTGGGGTACTCAGTCTTGTTCTGTGCTGTCCTCCTAAACCAGAAGAAAGGCAGGGTCCACAGCACCCCATCTTTTTATGTGTAAAAGGACAACTGGATTCCCTTAAGCCTTCTAAACAAACTGTCAAGATTAACAAGTCAAAAGCAGCAAAACCTTCGAATAAACTGTTCGTCTACAATTTGCTGGTACTTTTCTGAAAAAATTTGAGACAGAAAGAGAGAGACAGAGAACACTATAAAGAAAATGTAACACTAGGCGGCTACACTTTGTTTTCAGTTTAGGTGTACTGTGCTTCAGACCAAAATAGTAAGCCATTTCTACATGGTAGGCAGAAATAATTACAAAAGATAATTTTAAAAACAGTACCCTTGAGACCAGTGAATGGCACAATGGTTATGTCACTGGACTCCCATGTAGTCAAACCAGTTCGAGTACCGGACCTGGCGGCTTAAATTCACACTGGGCATGTGTGCATGTGTGCCCAAGACCCCGAGAGGAGAATGGAGGAGAAGGGATTGTGATGTGGCCATCCCCCTGGGGGGTGAGGGGTGATTTCTCACTTTCTGTCTCTCTGGTAAGTGAATATGCCCTATAACAAAAATCTCTTTTTTTATGAGTGCACCAAGAAAGTACCAAGTATCTATGAATTACTCTAATAAAGGGCTGTACAAGCCCTGTACACAGCAAATGACAAAACACTGGAAGTAAAGCACCAGGCGAGCAGAGGGACATAGCATGCTCATTGGGGAGAAGACTCAAAGATGGCAGGAGTCTATTTTGACTGGTAGATGCAATACAATCCAAATCAAAACTCTAGCAGAATTATTTTTCTGGAAACTAAGGAAGTAACTCCAAATTTTAAATGAAAAATACAAAGGGCCAAATATCAAGACAATCTCAAAGGACTTATACTTCCAGACATCTAAATTCATAAAGTATAGAAAGTCAGGACAGTATGTATTGGTGAAAAATGGACAAACAGACCGAAGGAACAGTGAGAACCCCACACCAGATCCATAGTGATCTAATCAATGGATTTAAAGCAAGGCCCTGAGTCATGCAGCAGGGAAAGGCTAGGTTTTCAGTAGAGTACTTGCGAAAGAGCCACCATGAGAAACAGCAGCAGCAGCGAATACTCATCCTACACAACAGGCATGGAAAACATTTCTAAGTGGATCACAGTTCAAAACATAAAAGAGAAAATATCTGTGACTTTGGAAAAGGTTTCAAAGAAAACTTAAACACCAGAGATGACAACTGAGAAAGTGAACTACCATAAAATTAAAATTTCTGGGGACCAGCAGATGGTGTAATGGTTCTATCACTGGACTCCCATGTAGTTGACTGTGGTGTGAGTCCCTGGACCTGGCATCTTAAAACTCACGCCAGTTGTGTATGTATGCATGCCCAAATCCTGAGAGGAAAATGGAGGAGAAGGGATTGCGGTGTGGCGATCCCTCCCAGGGTGATTTCTCACTTTCTGTCTCTCTGTCTTTCTAGCGAGTGCATGTGCTCCAAAGCAAAAAAAAAAACCCTCTTAAAAAAATAATTGAAATTTCTCTTCATTAAAAGACACTATTTGGGAACCAGCAGTTAGTGTAATGGCTATGTCGCTGGACTCCCACTTAGTTGACCGCGGTTCGTGTCCCGGACCCGGTGGCTTAAAACTCACGCCGGGCGCGTGTGCGTGCGTGCCCATCCCCCCTGGGGGGTGATTTCTCGCTTTCTCTGTCTCTATGTCTCTCTCTGTCTGTCTGGCGAGCGCACGCACCCTACAGTGAAAATAGAAAGGAAAAAATCCCCCAGGGAATTTTGAAAAAAAAAAAAAAAAAAAAAAAGACACCATTCAAGAAATTAAAAAGGGAAGCCACAGAATGGACAATAATTATTTAAAATACAAATAGTTGTAAATAACAATCGAGGGGCCTGCCAGTACTATGATGGGTGGGGAGGCTGGATTCCATGTAGTCAGCTGCATGGTTCCAGTCTTGACCCAATGGCTTTGGGAATGCGCCAGGCACATGAGTGTGCATGCCCAAAATCCTGAGAGGGGAATGGAGAAGAAGGGATTGTAGCATGGCTGTCCTGGTGGTATGTGGGGACTTTCTCTTTCTCTCTATGGCAAAGGCCATATGTGCCCTATAGCAAATTAAAAACAAAAAAGCTCAGAACCTGATTAAAGAGCTTCTGTATATATCTCTGAGAAAACATACAATCTGGGGCCGGCAGGTGGCATTGTGGTTGAGGTGCTGGACTCCCACATGGCTGACCATGGTTCGAGTACTGGACCTAGCAGCTGGCTTTCTCACTTTCCCTCTCTTCCTCTCTCTCTGGTGAATTAAAAAAAAATTAGTGGTAATAAATTTAAAAAGTTAAGCACATAACTGTTAGGAAAAAAAGACTTGACTAGTCACACTGTACAGAAGATATCCATCCAAATGGCCAACACAGACAAAAAGGTGAAAGACTGCATTAGTCGGCAAGGAACTACAGATAGAAAGTACAATGAGGGGCCAGTAGGTGGCACAGTAGGTGAGGTGCTGGACTCTCATGTGATGGACTGCAGTTCGAGTCCTGGATCTAATGGCTTGAAACTCATGCTGGGCACATGTGTGTGTATGCCCAAATCCTGAAAGAACGGAGAAGGGACTGCAACACAGCCACCCCTCTGGGAGGTGATTTCTCACTTTCTCCCATTTCCCTGGTGAGTACACACATCTTATAGCAAAAATCTCTAAAAAGTACAATGAGGTAACATTAAAAACCCACTAGAGGGACCAGTAGATGGTGTAATCGTTACGTCACTGGACTCAAGCAGTCGACTGTGGTTCGAGTCCCGGACCTGGAGGCTTAAAACTCATGCTGGGCATGTATGTGTGTGTGCCCCAAAACCCAGAAGGAGACTGGAGAGGGGACTGCAGCGCAGCCAACCCCTGGGGCATGATTTCTGGCTTTCGGTCTCTCTGGTGAGTGCACATGCCCTATAGCAAAAATCTCTGTAATAAAATAAAAAAAAACAAACAAACAAAAAACAAAAACCCAAAAAAAACACCACCACCCACAAGAGGGCCAGCAAGAGGAATGGTCGTTAAGGCACTGTACTCCCACATGGCTAACCGCAGTCTGAGTTCTGAGTCCCAAACCTAGAGGCTTGAAAATCATGCCGGGTACACAAGCGTGCATGCCCAAGATCCCAGGAGGAGAAGGGATTATGGTGTGGCCGTCCCCTCAGAGGTGATTTCTCATTTCCTCCCCCTCACTGTCTCTCTCATAAAGGCACACACTCTGGCAAAAACAGAACAGTAAACCTCACTAAAACAGCTGAAGTTTAGAAGCCTGGCCAGGTGTCAGTAATAATGTAAGGGCAGTGGTTCTCAACAGGGTCATTTCTGCTCCTCAGGGTAATCTAGCAATGCTAGGGAGCATTTCTATGGGGGGAGGCAGAGGAGGCACAACTAACATCAAGTAGTTATGGCCACAGATACTGATGAACATCTTACAATGCAGAGGACAGCCTAAATGTCAACAGGGTTGCAGTTGCAAAACTCTGACATGATGCAACCAAAACTCACATAAACTGGCAGGACTGCGTCTCAAAACTGTTTGACATTATCTTCTAATGCTAGTGTATGCGCACTCCATCATCACTCAGTAACTCTACTCTGAGGGATACACAGAGATGGGCCCAGCGAAGATACTGATACAATGCATACGCAGTCATATAAAACAATGTTCGCAGAAGTACTATTCATAATTACCCCGTAAAAGGACACAACACAAATGTATCCTAACAATAAAGTGGATACTCTGTATTTACATAGCAATGAAAAAAGATAGACAAGAATAATAGCTCTAGATGACACAGATAAATCTCATGTTGAAAGCTAGACACACAAGAACTCTTATCAAATTATTTTTGTTTGTATAAAATTTTAAAAAGGGTGGGGAGGCTGGCCCATAATCTAGTGGTTGAGAGAGCAAGATCTCACATGGCTGATCAAAAGCTTGGACCTGGTGGCATGATAAACATGCAGGACACGTGTGCATATGTGCCCCAAATCCCAAAGAGATGGAAAAACGGAAGAGAAGGGATTGTGGCATGACCACGTCCCATGGTGAGGAGGTGCTTTCTCCCTCTCCTTCTGTTTCTCTCTGGTGAACACATCCTCTCTCTGGCAATTAAAAAAAAAAATGAAAGCAAGAAAAAAAATGAATGAATGGACGTGTGCCAGCAGGTGGTATGGAGGTTCAGACGGTGGGATCGCACAGGGGCAACTACATGGATGGAGGCCAGGCCCCAGCAGCTTTAAAGTCACATTAGACATGTGTATGCCTAAAATCCGGAGAGGAGGATGGAGAAGGGACTGTGGCATGGCCATTCTCACTTTCTCTGTCTGTTCCCAGTGAGTGCACGTACTGTGTAGCAAACTACCAAATGAACATTAATTCATTAAAGCATTAATTAAAAAAAAAAAACCCATGGGACTAGCAGATGGTATAATGGTTACTTCCCTGGACTCTCATGCAGTAGACTGAGGCTGGAGTCCCAGACCCAGCAGCTTAAGCTCACACCAGGCATGTGTGTGTGTGTGTGTGTTCCAAAATGCCGAGAGAAAAATGGAAGAGAAAGGATTGTGGTGTGGCCATCTCCATTGGGAGCTGGTTTCTTACTTTCTGTCTGTCTCTCTTAAAAGAAATAAATAAAAGAAATGAGCATACAAAAAGACTCTTATTTAAAAATCAAAATTAACAGCCATCTTCCAGGAGATGAGTGAGGAACCTGGGAATGAGTGATCCAGACAGAAGTTTACTTGAGAACACCCCCAAAAAGGCTACGTAGCTCTTTCACCCAGGTATGGCTCCAGGATACCTGTCGTTTGATTGAAACTAATTCCATGTCCAGTTGTCTGAGCACTGTGGTAGCAGCAGTGGCGTTGGCAGAAACAGCCTCCACATCTTCTTGAGAAAGAAACATTCCTTTCGGAGGTTTCCTTTTTGCTCTGTTTTTAGCTTGTGTGCTGTGTTTTTCTTTCTTGACCTGAGGAACTGTCTCAGTAGGGGGAACCTGCATTATAGACATATTTGATAAAGGAAAAGATTAAAATGTCAAACGAATAGTAATAAGCGTATTTCCCTAACATGGTACCAAATAATATATCACAAATACCATTCCATATCAAAATTGCCATCTACAAATTCTCATATGCAGTTGACAAAAACTTTTGACTACTGAATTTTGGCTCAATCTTTCAAACTATACTCTACTTCCTTCTTATACAATAAATCCTTACTCTATCACTTTAAGCCTCTAATAAGCATTTTCAGCTTCCTGCAGTAACACAGAAAGACAAAAAATCCATAATCTCTGATGGGCTTTGTGCCCGTATGTGTACAGATACACAGATGTGTGTTTATCTGTGTATAAAGGATTGAGGAGCTAATTTATCCTAATAGCAGACCCTAGCAATAAAGATGGAAAAATGACCACAGAAAGAAAAAGAAAATGATTCTACACATGTACAAAGATCCCTAAGTAATTCCTAACTCTTCCCATTATGAAATATAAACTCCATAGAAAGAGGTGTGGTCATTAGAAACTGGGAGGTGAAAAAGGGCCTGAAGACAGAGACAGGCTGGTTAACAGATATTTTTCACACAGCCTTTTTGTTCATTTTTTTGGTGAGGTTTATGCTATAGGGCACGTGCGCTCACCAGAAAGACAGAGAGGGACAGAAAGACAGAAAGGGAGAAATTACTTCCTGGGGGGATGGCCATGCTGCAATCCCTTCTCCATTCTCCTCTCGGGATCTTGGGCATGCACGCACATGCACCCAGCATAAGTTTAAGCCACCAGATCTGGGACTCGAACCGTGGTTGACTATATGGGAGTCCAGTGACATAGCCATTACGCCAACTGCTGGTCCCTTTTGTTTTTTACATAGCCTTTCCTTTTGAACAACACAACTTTTAGGTCAACTTGTAGTTTGCTCTTTAAAAAAAAAAAAAGCTCCCATTTAGAAATTCATAACTCCTGCTAATTTTTAAAGGTGTTTTCTCTAAAACCAAAACTTCAGAAATGAAATCGTAAAATCTTAATAAAGAAAGGCTTTCATCTTAATGGTACTCATTTTAAGAACAAGAAGTGTCTTAAATCGTTCATCATCTCATCTTGATAGGGTATTAACATTCACTGATAAGGCTGAAAATAATGTTAAGGCTTTTTGCTTCCTGTTTTAAAAGACTGAGATAAAAGACAATGCAAGCTAAGATGCAGTGATAACTTTATGAAAAGTGGCAAGAGCGTAGTAAAATACTGGGGGTAATAAATATATATAGCACTCTGTTGAATAACAAAGGTCATCTCTGGACAATGTGTCTTTCAATAACATTTCAGTACTTAAAAAAACTTAGATTTAACTATTTTTCTTCCTGAATTGAAAATTGTGTTATATAAATAAGAATTACAGAAATTGAGATTAAAATTCAAGTCTTTTTTCTTACATTTACAATGCTCCATTGAAGAACCTAACAAATTACATCAAAACAAAGCTTACTAAAAACTCCAAATACAATATGATTTCCTAAATAATCTGATTCGGCTAGCCCTCAGGATCATTTTATTTGAGCACTCATGTAAATCACCAGTAAGAGTGCCATCCACTAAGAATTATCGATTTCTAATTTGCTGGTATATACAAGAGAAGTCTTAAAAAGATGTAGACCACATTGACTCAATCAACTTCAAGGAATGAATTCTTTCTTTCTTTTTTCTAAGAGATTTTGCTACAGGGCGTGTACTTTCACTAGAGAGACAGAGACAGAAAGCAAGAAATCACCCCCCAGGGGGGATGGCCATGCTGCAATCCCTTCTCCTACGTCTCCTCTTGGGATCATGCACGCCACATGCACCAGGAGTATTTTAAGCCACTGGGTCCGAGACTCGAACCGCGGTCAACTACATGGGAGTCCAGCGACGTAACCCTTAGGCCATCTGCTGGTCCCTCAAGAAATGAATTCTAACGTAAAAAGATAAGCACATAAGCATTTAGTTAAGTGATTATCAATTCAGCGTTGTTTATAACAGCAAAAGTTGGAGAAATTAGTAATACAGAAATCCATATGGGATTAATTAATAACTCAATTACAAAAGGTTCATATGACTGAATTATAACTATATATATATATATATTTATATCTGCCATAAATGTGTTCAAATGTTAAAAGCTATAGAAATAACATAGTAAGATTCCATTCTATTATTTTTTTAACAGTGAGTAAATTTAGAACATAGGCATATTATGTTATATAGGCATATACATTTTACAGAGAAAACTGACTGGGAAAAGCACCTTTAGTGAGTATGAGTATTAATATTATAAACCATTTAAATTTTCTTCTTTTGTTTAGCTGTATTTCTTACTTTGCATATAAAAAGGACATATTACTGATGTAATTTAGATGTCCAGAACCTTCAGATTTTTGCTTATATTGTCATAATTATTCTCATACTTTGGGGGGATAAAGAACTATGAGCATTTTAGGTATAGTATACTTTGCCTTCACAAAAACGCCTATATAAATACCTTAAAAGTCATTATACATCCAACTGTAGGGACTGCAGGGCCCCAGAATCCAGAGCCTAAAAATCTCTTGCATAATTATTTTTACATGTGAGTGATTCAACAATCACTGGGCAAAAAGCCCTCACGTCTGTGTAAGGAGAGGCGTGCACCAAGTATGGCCACTCCTAGTAGCCACCTTAGTCACCTCATGACCCACTGTGGGCAGAGCCCTGAGGACGCCACAGCTAGAACAGAGGCTATAAAGCAGGCAAGAGGAGCCTGGGCCTCCCTGCTGCCGTTCTCTGCACTATTGAGATAACGGTTTAAGAAGGAAGTCAGTGATGATCGTGACCCCATACAAAAATCTTCACTTATCAATAGTAAGTTTTCCTTTAAGGTTTCCTTTACTGAAATTTCTTGGCAAACAAAATTCTAGGTTCTATAAAGCAAAGTTAGTATTCTTTAAGAAGTCCTACCATAATGCTCTGCACATATTACTTGCTATATAAAGTTGAACAAACCAGAGGAAATGTTTTATTTATGGAACTAGTAATAACATTTATTTGCCTAAATAATACTAGGGGGAAAAATACCTCCTTTTTGCTTTCCTTGTTTTGATCAACCTCAATGTCAATGGGGTTATTTCCATTTGTTTCTTCCAGTTCATCCTCACTGGAAGACAAGAACAAGTTACTGAAAGATAATTTTGTACTAATTCTATTAAATATACAATTGTAAGCAATAAACTTATTTAATGACAAAGTTAATGTAAATTTAGCATGCTTTCAGATTGCTGAAATTATATATATATATTTATATCTGCCATAAATGTGTTCAAATGTTAAAAGCTATAGAAATAACATAGTAAGATTCCATTCTATTATTTTTTTAACAGTGAGTAAATTTAGAACATAGGCATATTATGTTATATAGGCATATACATTTTACAGAGAAAACTGACTGGGAAAAGCACCTTTAGTGAGTATGAGTATTAATATTATAAACCATTTAAATTTTCTTCTTTTGTTTAGCTGTATTTCTTACTTTGCATATAAAAAGGACATATTACTGATGTAATTTAGATGTCCAGAACCTTCAGATTTTTGCTTATATTGTAGTAATTATTCTCATACTTTGGGGGGATAAAGAACTATGAGCATTTTAGGTATAGTATACTTTGCCTTCACAAAAACGCCTATATAAATACCTTAAAAGTCATTATACATCCAACTGTAGGGACTGCAGGGCCCCAGAATCCAGAGCCTAAAAATCTCTTGCATAATTATTTTTACATGTGAGTGATTCAACAATCACTGGGCAAAAAGCCCTCACGTCTGTGTAAGGAGAGGCGTGCACCAAGTATGGCCACTCCTAGTAGCCACCTTAGTCACCTCATGACCCACTGTGGGCAGAGCCCTGAGGACGCCACAGCTAGAACAGAGGCTATAAAGCAGGCAAGAGGAGCCTGGGCCTCCCTGCTGCCGTTCTCTGCACTATTGAGATAACGGTTTAAGAAGGAAGTCAGTGATGATCGTGACCCCATACAAAAATCTTCACTTATCAATAGTAAGTTTTCCTTTAAGGTTTCCTTTACTGAAATTTCTTGGCAAACAAAATTCTAGGTTCTATAAAGCAAAGTTAGTATTCTTTAAGAAGTCCTACCATAATGCTCTGCACATATTACTTGCTATATAAAGTTGAACAAACCAGAGGAAATGTTTTATTTATGGAACTAGTAATAACATTTATTTGCCTAAATAATACTAGGGGGAAAAATACCTCCTTTTTGCTTTCCTTGTTTTGATCAACCTCAATGTCAATGGGGTTATTTCCATTTGTTTCTTCCAGTTCATCCTCACTGGAAGACAAGAACAAGTTACTGAAAGATAATTTTGTACTAATTCTATTAAATATACAATTGTAAGCAATAAACTTATTTAATGACAAAGTTAATGTAAATTTAGCATGCTTTCAGATTGCTGAAATAAAACATTTAACAATCAGTTAGAGTAATATGAATTACTTTTACTTTCAGTGATGCCAAACTATTGAAGTAGGTCTTTAAATTACAAACAAGTACAGAACCCGTTTGTAAAGTGCCTTTCCCACCTGCAACTGGAAATACTGAGTTTGAAAGACATTGACTCTATCCCCCATAATCACCTACTGAAGGGCTAGGGCACGATCATTACACATACCTGAAAAACTGCAGGTGCCTTAAGTTCTACAACACAGGGAGTGAACTTGCCAATAACCCATTTTTGATTCCTTTTCTATTTAAAAAAACCTGAAGTCTGGATAACTGATGTTTTCAAATTAAATAAACAACAACAAAAACTTCATTGCTGTGACTCTTCAAAATACTTCGTTTCTGCACAAATCATCACATGTACTTGAAAAAAACAAGAGAGCAAAATCTCACAGAAGTCAGGACGCCAGTCTCAGTTCTCTGCAGTTCTAGCCCACCACATGGCGGTGGCGGCAGAGCACTGAGGCCTTCAAGGCCAGCTTCCCACTCAGCCACGGGAACCACTGGGGGCCACACCTCGACCTGTACTTCCTCCCCATCCACCACCAGGGTGGCACAAAGTTCTACAGAAGAAAGTGCCTGGGGTGAGAGGATTCTGACAGGGCCCTGCCATTACTTTCATGGACATGTTAAAAATGAACAATCTTGGGGTAAGCTGGTGGTGTGGTAATTAAGGAGCTGGCTCCCACATGGCCAACTGTGGTTAAAGCCCCAGACCAGGCAGCTTGCTTTCTCATTTTCCCCCTCTCTGTCCCTCTGTCTTTCCTTGATGAGCGCATGTGTCCTTCAGCAAATTAAAGGTAATAATAACAATAGTAAATAAAATTAAATACGCCTTTTAAAAAAAAAAAGAAAAAGAATCTCTGGGCTAGCAGGTGGCATGGTGGTTAAGGTGATGGATTCCCACATGGCTGAACATGGTTCGCGCTCCAGACCTGGCGGCCTGAAAATCACACTGGGGCCCAAAAGGCCAAAAGGAGAATGGAGGAGAAAGGAATGTGGTGAGGCCATTCCCCCTGAAGGAGTGACTTCTCACTTTCCCTTTCTCTGCCTGTCTCCTAAATGCACCCTATGGCAAAAACCTAAAAACAAGAAACAAAAGCAAAAAAAAAAAACGCCAGTGCTGCTGCCTGGTCTGATACGTCTTCACAGCGTACATATGAACGGTGGTCATGTGCAAGGGCACAGAGGAGAGTTATGAAGAGTGGCTCCGGCACAGTAAGCAGACAGTGCCAGTGACACTCTTACCACTTCAGACTCTTGATTCTCAAGAGTATGGTATTCTGATCACTGTTCAGTGGATGGCACCTGCTTGTAGTAAGAGATTTAATTTATGAACAGTAAATTGGACCTAACACAGTAGGGAACTTTAAAAACTTTAAAAAGACTGATCTATATATAAATAGGCTACTATGTATGTTGCAGGTAAAAAGTATGCAGATGTATCAGAGTCAACAATTTTAACAGAATTTTACAGCTGGAAAGAGCTTTGGAGGTAACCCTCAACCTTTTTTTTTTTTTTTTTAAGTTTTTGACATAGGGCCCATGTGCTTGCAAAGAGAGACTGTGAGAGAAGTGAGAAATCACCCGCTCTCCAGGCACATGATCATGCTGTAATCCCTTTTCCTCCATTTGCCTCCTGGGATTTGGGGTATGCATGTACATACACATGTACCTGGACTGATTTTCAGGCTGGGGACTTGAACCAGTCAGCCATGTGGGAGTCCAGTGACTTAACCATCAGGCTACCTGCTGCCCCGCCCCCTTTAAAGAATGATTTATTCTATTTTATTTATCATCATTATTTATTTTTAAATTTACTACAGGGCACATGCACTCACGAGAGAGAGAGGAGAGAGAGAGAGTGAGAGAGTGACAAAGCAAGCAGTCAAGTCTAGTACTCGAACTACGGTCAACCATATAGGAATCCAGTACCTTAACCACCATGCCACTTGGTGGCCCTTTGAAGACATTCTTAACACCCAATTTAGAGGGACCAGCAGTTAGCGTAATGGCTATGTTGCTGGACTCCCACGTAGTCAACCGCGATTCGTGTCCCAGACCTGGTGGCTTAAAACTCACGCCGGGTGCATGTGCATGCGTGCCCAAGATCCAGAAAGGAGCATGGAGGAGAAGGGATTGCGGTGTGGCCATCCTCTCTGGGGGGTGATTTCTCGCTTTCTGTCTCTCTGTCTCTGTCTGGCGAGCGCATGCACCCTATAGCAAAAACCTCTACCAACACCAACCTCCCCCAAAAAAACCACAAAAAAAAACACTCAATTTAGAGGTCTGAATTGTCCAAAAGAGATGCACAACTCTCAACATGTTCTCACATGTTACTGTCTTTTAATTAAAATAATAAAATACTGTCCCAAGAAGGGATTTTTTTTGGAGAGGTTTTTGCTATAGGGCGCATGCGCTCGCCAGACAGAGACAGAGAGACAGAAAGCGAGAAATCACCCCCCAGGGAGGATGGCCACGCTGCAATCCCTTCTCCATCCTCCTCTCGGGATCTTGGGCACGCACGCACAAGCGCCTACATGAGTTTAAGCAACCGGGTCTAGGATTTGAACTGCGGTCGACTACATGGGAGTTCAGCAAGATAGCCATTACGCCAACTACTGGTCCCCCCAAGAAGGGATTTTGAGGACCATATAGCTCATGCCCTTCATTTGATCTTGAATCACTAATTCATAAAAATAACATAGTATAGGGAACCAGCAGGTGGCATGGTCGCGAAGGCGCTGGGCACTCTCACATGGCTGACCATGGTTTGAGTCCTGGGCCTGGTCGTTTCTTTTCTCACTTTCCCTCTCTCTCTCTCTCTCTCTCTCTCTCTCTGTGTCTCTCTCTAGTCAAGTTAAAATAAATTAATGAATAAATAAAATTCATGAATAAATAAAATTAAATAATTTAAAAAACATAGTATAGAAAATGTAGAAAATATACATTTTTTTGGAGAGGTTTTTGCTGTAAGGTGTGTGCACTCGCCAGAAAGACAGAGAAAGACAGAGAGACAGTGAGAAATCACCCCCCCCAGGGAGGATGGCCACGCTGCAATCCCTTCTTCTCCATTCTCCTCTCACGATCTTGGGCACGCCCGGACATGTGCCCGGCATGAGTTTAAGCCACAGGGGCCAGGACTTGAACCACCGTCGACTACATGGGAGTCCAGCGACATAGCCATTATGCCATCTACTGGTCCCAAAAATATAGTTTATATAAGCTACCATATTTCTACCACCATAACACAAAAACTGCTGTATTTGCATACTGCCTTCTAGAATTTAGGCATCTTCATTTTTTTAATTTATTTATATTCTGTAATGCCAGAGGCAGCATATGCTTACCAGAGAGAAACAGAGAGACAAAGACAGAGAGAGCACACATACACACACGAGCGAGAGAGGAAGAACTCCACGGCTGGGCATGGTAACACTGCAATCCCTTTCCTCCATTTCTCCATCCTATCAGGATCTGGGGCACAAACATGCCCAATGTATCTCCTGCCAAAACTAAAGTGCATGTGGTCAGCCACATGAGATACAACTCCCTGCACACAGTGCTCAACTGCCACACTATGGGGTCAGCCCACACACCTTCTGATTTATTTATTTATTTGAGAGTGCTTTTTTGCTACAGAGCACATGTGCTCACAGGAGACATAGAGACACAGAAAGCGGGAAATCAACGCCCAGGAGGGATGGCTAGGGCACAACTGCTTTTCCTCCATTCTCCTCTTAGGATTTTGGGTGTGCACACACACATATACACGCCCAGCCTGAGTTTGACGCTGCAGGGTCTGGGACTCAAACTATACTCAGTCATGTGGAAGTCTAGCACCTTAACCACTATGCCACCTGCTGGGCCTCCCTCCCCTGAACATCTTCATTTTAGACTTGAGAAATAAAAACCGGAGGGATGTACAAAGAGAACTATCGATAACTCACCTATGCAAATAAAAGCAAAACCTCTGAGTTGAGACTAGAACCTTTCTTTCTTTTTGCTATAAGGTGCATGTGCTCTCCAAGAGAGAAAAAGAGAGAGAGAGAAAGTGAGAAAGCATCCCCTAGGAGGTGAATGGCCACTCTGCAATCCTACAATCCCTTCTCTATTCTCTTCCCAGGATTTTGGGTACACACAAACACACACACACACACACACACACACACACACACACACACGCACGCACGCATGCGCAGTGGGATTTGCAAGCTGCCAGGTCGACTCAAAGCACACATTTAGCCATGTAGGCCCTCCACGCCACCTCCTAGCCCTTGAACTCATTTCTCTGTGTGAGAATATACCACTTCCACTTCTTTCAGGCAGGATGGTGGTGGCCAATCTGGTCTAGGGAGTCAGAGCTTTTTCTGAGGAAGGATCTAAAATATGAATATATCAAGAGGGGGAAGAAAATTTTGGAGGGAACAGTATATGTAAAAGCTGCTCTGCAGAAAGGAGCATGGGTCCCCACTGCAAAGCGAGGGGAGTAAAAGACGAAGATGGAGAGGTAGATGAAGGCAGGACTCAGAGCGCTCTGAGGCTGGCACCATAAGGAGTTC